TCAGCAATTCAACCCAGGAACAGCAAAGCAACATGTGGCCAAGGCACGCCAACGACTTGGGCTTCTTACGCACCCCTGCAATGCGAGAAGTTGTGCTTCCAGGCATAGATCTGGACACTACCCGACCTGCAAGCAGCCTACCTGCCCTCCTTTTGGAAACTCCCAATGTCTCGTCCTCAGCCGCTTTCTTCAACCGCTGATGTTCCAAGTGTGCGGCCATAACGTAAGTGTGGAGCTGCAAGCTTTTTTCAGATTTACCAGCCCGATGCGCTGTCGCTGTTTGTTGTGTGTTGCTGTGCAGCTTCTCAACATTCACAGACGAGGCCGGCATGTAAATCAATGCGTCCCTGAGCAAATCCACCAGCTGTTGCACGCCCTGCAACTTATCACCGTTACCAGCAACATGCAAAGCAACCTGAGTCCAATCATAAAGCAGACCACGGACCACCCGCAATATCTTACGTCGTGACTCTAACCTCTCGATCCCAAATCTAATCTAAACATAAACATAGACACTAACTAACTTACCTACCGGACCTGAACTCGTAACTTAACTAACCTTAACTAACGAACGAACCAACTAACTAACTAACTTTAACTAACTGTTTAACTAACTAGCTAACTAACTAATTATTAGTTAGGTTACGTTAACTAACGACTACCGACGATGTCCGCGTCTTGGGACCGTACCTGCACGAAAGGATCGCCCACACAACAGAGGTCCAGTCTCGACAGATCTTTCAAAAAAGTTGTTGCTGCCTCCAAGGTCATCATGCCGACCCCAAGCAATTGGGTTTTCTTTCTCTGAGCAGGCAGCCACATTCTCCGCCATGTATCACACATGGTGGGGAAAACATGAGGCAGGACGCTGGCAAAGGTTATGTTGCATGCATCGTAAATTTCATCGTCCGGAGGCGCAAGCAACAAAGTTGTGAACTCCTTCACAGCATCAATGCCTTTCTGTCCAGAAAACAGCGCCCAATTCATTTTGCAGAGCTCTTGCTCGGTGCATGCACAGGCACTCTGGGGTAGGACAAGGGAGCGAGACCGCATCTGCAACCGGTCGCGGCAAGTTTCCACATAAGATATGAAATCCATCAATGTTGCAATAGGCCAGTGCACCAGCATTGACTTCCCAAGTTCTGCCTCCGAAATATATTCTTACTTTGTTAGATTAAACTTCCGATTCAATAAAGAATTAAGAATTAAGACGACTAAGATTTGCAACTTTACTTTTATTTTGTTTCTGTTTCAAATTTCTAATTTCTAAATAATTTCTACACTAACTACTGACTTCTAACTTCTAACAATATGATGTCTAATGTCAGTCCGAGTCTTGTCTGACTGTCTATATGTCTATCTAATAATATAGTTTATTTTACGTCATAATTTACGAACTTACGAACACGAACTAAATAACCAGCACCTATAGCCTATAGCCTATAGTCTAGTAACTAGTGACTCTAGTAACTAAATTTAAACTTTGCTAATTGCTAATGCATACATGGCTACCCGAATGTTCTGGGATGTTACAAGTGCCAGGGTCTTGCTCATCCGAATTTCCTGTCGAGCAGAATACGACAAGTCAGGAGCATCTTCATCCATTGCTTGTAAATCAACAGTTTCCTGGCTTTGTTTGCTGCAGCATCGTCTGATCAAGAATGGCATGAAACCGTGAATAAAAACTCCACGGGTCGTGTAGCTCTGGCATTCAGTCCAGCCCTTCCAACGGTAGAGGAGAGGCACTTGAGGAAATGCCTCGAAGAGGAGTCGAAGGGCCTCACGACAACGCTGGACACACGCTTCTTGATTGGCGCAACACCCGCAACACCAGTGCTGAAACCGGCCCGTGTGGTCAACTTCCTCATCCCAGCGTCCGTTGAATGTCTTCAATATGAAATCTTGCTCTTCCTCGCTCAAACCGAAGCTCACAACACCCAACAGCATTTTCTGTTTTGCTTGCACGGCCTGGACTGTCTGTGGAATCTCCCTGACAACCCTTCTGTCCACGGCACGAGACAACAAATCCAATCCATCCTCAAACAACCCTTGGAACTTGGTCGCCCTCATGGCACGCGTCATGCGCACCATGCCGCTGCATAGCCCAGGGATGCTCAACAATCCTGGCTTCAAGGACAATGCTGCCTGGTGGTGGAGGCAATTGCACTCGGTTTGTAGCGTTGTGCAAGC